TACCACAAACGGTGACAGAAAACCAAATTGACCTTTTCCACCCTCATGATCCCCAAAGCCTCATTCTCGATGAAGTTCTTAACGAACTTCATGACCCAAGGTTGCATGCTGACGTTTCGCGATTACGGGAATGTCTGACACGAAGGGACGCCATTAATACGCGCCGCGCCGACCTGAGGAGGTTGGAAGCGGAGGCGACCCGTGACCAGTTTCACCTGGACATGGAGTTCGCAAGTGTACGAAAGCGGCTTCAGTATGCACAAGCAATCCCCCTTATTTCGGACAAGTATGCCGAACTTATGGCAAAACCTATTCGACCCCGACATACTCCTGACTCAAGGCCCCTTTCGCCGAGAAGGGGAGGACCATGCGAAATGCCGCGACTACAAGGGGAAAGCAGGAAGAAGCGGTCCAAGAAGTGCTTCATATGCAAGTCCGCCGACCACCTGATCGCGGAGTGTCCTCGACGAATGACGATGTACGCGTGCGCCTACTGTGGCAGCGACAGCCACGGTATTCAGTCATGCCTCATCCGACGAGTGTCGGCTATGGCACCCCGCCATGAGGAACCTTCTCATCGACCCCGTTGGTGTGGGAAAGTGCCTCCGCTTCGATGCCCAGCATGACGAAATTGACTGTCCCATGTACGAACTATGCCGAAAGTGTGGAGAACGAGGTCGCCACCTATTTCTACGACGACACACGTGTCCTGTCCCCCGCAGCCCCACCCCTACTAACGATGTTGACGCTGACGTTTATGACTATGTCGGTAGCGACTAGTCAAAGTTGTGGCAACTTTGATTCTAACGGGGGGGTAATGTTACGAACTTCGACTCTTATTGTTTCCCTATCACTTGACCGTCCCCTTGTTTCACTTCCATTCCATCGATCAGCTTGTGACTCGTTTACGATTAGGATCCGCTTCGATTCAGGTCTCGGCCCTTATCTCGCACCTACCCCATGATCGTACCATTGGCAGGTTTTACGACTTTTAGAATCCGCTGACGACGTCAGAGTCCCGCGTGACTCCGCGGAAACTACTAGTACATTCGATATGACTCATAGTACGATAAGCTCACTAGGACCCGTATCCTAGGATTGCGCCATGTGTTTGGCATAACCAAACACCGTGTACTTGTATATAAACCGCATACTACCTAGCTTGTACGGTAGTTCTGACTTCTTGTGTAATACCACACTCAGTACTCGCGAACCCCTCTTTGACTTGCCTTTGCGCTTAAGTCCCGTGCTCGCCTTCGTGCCTGAGCCCCGTCTTCTCTGACTAAGGTTGATAAGCTCTAGCAGCTAGTTCAACTCTTATTCATCACCGAACTGAGTCTTAATCGACTCGCTCTACCAGAACCCGTGACCGTTGACTTGGAAGTACACGTCGTACTTAACGCCCCTGTGGTGGCGTTACAACACACGTCTTCGGTCCAGTCTGTGGCATTCTCACCAGATGGCCAGAGCATCGTCTCAGGCTCTTCCTATGGAAAAATTCGTGTGTGGAACGCCACGACAGGAAAGACAGTGGCACGCCAATTTACTGGACACACGTCTTCGGTCTGGTCTGTGGTATTCTCGCCAGATGGCTGGCGCATCATCTCAGGCTCAGACGATGGAACAATTCGTGTGTGGAATCCCATGACGGGAGAGCCAGTAGCAGGCCCATTTACTACTAGACCCAAGTCTTCGGTCTTGTCTGTGGCACTTTCGCCAGACGGCCAGCGTATTGCCTCGGGCTTAGGCGATGGAACAATTTGTGTGTGGAACACCACGACGGGAAAGACAGTGGCAGGTCCATTTACTGGACACACGTCCTTGGTCTTGTCTGTGACATTCTCGCCAGATGGCCAGCGCATTGTCTCAGGCTCAGGCGATGGAACAATTCTTGTGTGGAATACCACGACAGGAAAGACAGTGGCAGGCCCATTTACCGGACACACGGAATCAGTCCGGTCTGTGGCACTCACGCCAGATAGTCAGCGCATCGCCTCAGGCTCAAGCGATGGAACAATTCGTTTGTGGAACACCACGACGGCAGAGTCAGTGGCAGGCCCATCTACTGGACACACATCTTCATTTAGGTCTGTGGCATTCTCACCAGATGGCCAGTGCATTGTCTCGGGATCAGACGATGGAAAAATTAGTGTGTGGAACGCCACGACAGGAGAGAAAGTGGCAGGTCGGTTTACTGGACACTCGGAATCGGTCTCGTCTGTGGCATTCTCACCAGATGGCCAGCGTATCGTCTTGGGCTCTTACGATCAAACAATTCGTGTGTGGAACGCCACGACGGGAAAGACAATGGCACGCCGATTTACTGGACACACAGATTCGGTCCACTCTGTGGCATTCTCTCCAGATGGCCGACACATTGTCTCAGGCTCAGAGGATCGAACAATTTGTGTGTGGAACGCCACGACAGCAAAAACAGTGGCTGGCCCATTTACTGGACATACGTATTCGGTCTTGTCTGTGGCATTCTCACCAGATGGCAGGCGCATCGTATCAGGCTCAGGCGATGGGACGATTCATGTGTGGGACGCCAAGACTGGAGGGACAGTGACAAGCCCATTTACTACTAGTAGAGCGGATCAGGTCTCGTCTGTGGCATTCTCGCCAGATGGACATCGCATCGTCTCAGGCTGTCACGACCAGACAATTTGTGTATGGAACGCCTCAACGGGAGAGATGGTCGCCGGCCCATTTACTGGGCACACGAATTGGGTCTTGTCGGTGGCATTCTCGCCGGATGGCCAACGCATCGTCTCAGGCTCTTACGACCAGACAATTCGTGTTTGGAACGCCACAAATGGAGAGGCAGTGGCAGGCCCATTTACTGGACATACGTCTTTGGTCTGGTCTGTAGCATTCTCACCAGATGGCAAGCGCGTCGTCTCAGGTTCTTCCGATGGAACAATTCGTGTGTTAAATGTTACAAAAGAGAAGACGGGAACTATAGGAGACGTTGACTTCACTGACCACTTCACAATCAACAATGAAGGGTGGATATGTGGTAGTAAAGGTGAACTATTAATGTGGATCCCGCTAAAACATAGGGCACATCTTCACCGCCTAAGTGACATACTATGGATTTCCGGCGGACGTGATACCCGCATTGATACCTCTAATTTCGTGCATGGACCCAGTTGGACTACTTGTATTAAAACATAGATAGAACCGCTCAAGCAACCTATAGTTTTTAGGAGGTCTGAAGTGTACATGTAATGTAATTTGACCGTGACATACTAGATACTAAGCGCAAATCGTGCTAATTTGCTGGACGGCTTGGTCTTGCCAGTGGTCTTGGTACTTCGGATATAGGCAAGCATATCCATATCGTGCCGGCAGTGGAGTCGATGGAAAATAGGTCTCAATTTGAGAGCTAGGGTAGATGACCTTGAAGCACGCGGGGTCTCGAGGGCAACTCAAGGACAACGCGAGAGTGAATAGACATGCTTGATACCACAAGTTGCACCCGCGCAGGATGCAGCGCCGCCTAATACATGTACTTAAACCCCAAATGATTCGAAGGCGAGGAGCGAGGAGGAACATATTCGTATCGAGATGACCTGGACTCGCAACACGAAGCCTGACATGAAGACGACGGAGGTCCAGTAACGTCGCGGGATCGAACGGATGCACTTTTTTTACTCGCGCAACCCCATTTCCCCTCCCACTAAAACCGTCCTCCCTATCCCGGCGATCAACTCATACTACATGGTTTAGGCGTTAGAGAACCTCCACTGCTTGGGGTTCTTTATCGACTATGGCTCGACTGGACCAATCATATGTGCAATCGAGCATAAGTATGCGGCCTCGATCAAAGCGCTTCAAATTCTCAGGAACTCCGTCAGAGCTCTCTCGGCCTCCAATTGGAGGCCAATCTTCAACGCCGTATGCTCGCCGGTTCTAACATACGGATGTCAAGCCTGGTCGCTGGCTTGGTCTCTGGGCAACAGAACAGCGCCGGCTTACCACATGCAGAAGGTATTTCGACTGTTAAGGTGAACGGTCCATCTGCGCTCAAGAGGTGTTCATAGGGCATCATCTTGATCGGGAATGACCTGATGACCGGCCAAGTGCGATACCATTTCCTCCTTTAACTTGCAAAGTGATCTCATAAGCCGAGCTAGTGTTGACAAGGTATGAGAAAGGTGGCGGAAAATTCGGGCAACATTCTTGGAACAAGGAATGTCTTAATATTAGCATGATCTCGTACATGGTCGTGGAAGTGTAGCGTCAAAGCTTAGGACAACGCCGCCAGTTCAAGACGATTCACGGGCCATCTTCACATTTGGCACTCCCTCGCTTTTCCCACACCCCTTCCATATCATTCCTTTCCGCTTCACCCATTGGGTTTGCCTCAAGAAATGGAACATGGGATTGAGATAAATAGTATTTTCATGGATACTGTATTTAGGAAGCTGATTACTTCAAAGTCGTCGATTATCAAGTCCGCACTTAGTTTACAGGCCAATTTGTCCCCGAAAAACGACGAAGATACATGACAGCCGCATAACATATATTTTTGGCATTTCTTCGATTTTTTCGGGGTCAGATACCATGTCAGATACTAGTACATCTGTCCTCTACTTTCGGCTCATCTTGAGAGGTAGGTTATGTCGTCCATCACAAAAATTCAATTTTCAAAAGGTGCTCAGTCCACCAATATGGACCTGAAATTCGTCGTTTTCGTTTTCGTATCAAACCCCATCTCAAGTTTTCAGGGGGCCTGGAATATGCTCCTACTCCGGACTGCCACCGTTCACGCGTCCACATTATATGTGAGTATCCTCAGACTGCTGCGCCATATCGCTACAATAGAAGCTCCTTTATCTTGAAAGATGCAATCGGACATGGGTCGTTCTATCCAATATGTGCAAACTGAAGTACGTATAATGAGTTGTTGAGGCTATACAAAATGCTTAGAGGTCTTTTTGCAACAAGGTAGGTGGTGCAGTGCTTTAGTGATGTGTTATATGTCATGGTTCAATGCATTGTTGGGGTAGTGGTAACCTGGGTCGTTGCCATTTCTTGAACGCACCTTCGACCCGCCCCGGGTTCGATTCCCGGACAATGCAGCAGCTTTTTTTTTGACGTACTGAGTTAATAGTTGCCAGGGATGATCAGGAGCGATCAATACGACCGTACACTGGTATGAACAGTCGTGCTCACTGGGGTGTTGCGTTACTTACCTCAATGTTACTGGGTTTTCATCGAGCTGGCCTTAGTGGAGCATTTTTGTTTTGACGATATCCCAATGGAGGGTAAACACCAATGAATGATTTTTGTCAATGGTAGTTCAAAGTCTACTACCATCAGACACGTTGGGGAATCAATTTCCAACTCGGATTACAGTACTCGGCGTCATTCCAGTCAACTCGAAACTTGAACCCACCACTACAACGCAGTGGACCCCAGTCCGTCCTAGTTGTACGAGGTGACCTGCCTCACTGGCGTTTATGAGGGCCTCGTCGCCTTCCTCTGTCTGACACCCTGATTGTCATTTAAAAAAAAGCCCAAGTCTCGCCAGTACCAGTAGCACGTAACGCACCTCCTCCTGCGCGCGCCCTACGACGGTTGGCCACCATATAGGCAGCAACAGCAGTACGTGCAGCCGACGTCCAAACCCTCAGAGTCTGCTGGTGAGTTGGTCGACTGATGGGGGGCGGGGGGCGGCCTCCGTGTAGACGCGGCTACAGGTCAGTGAGAGTGAGAGTCGTTCATTATATCGGTATCGTAAAATTTACGATGTTCACGACGCGGTACTGGTATAGCAAGCAGTATTCGTGTAATGTTGCGAATCCGGCAACAACGTCGCGACGACACGATCGAGTTGGTCTTCATTGTTGAATGCGAGACTGCTCGAGGACAACTCTAGTGGTAGACTCGGGGTGTTGCCTGGCGACGAGCACGTCTTCAGAAGGGGGCATCTCGGGCAGATGAGCGTCGTATATCGAACGCAGACGCGCTGACACGTTTTTGTTTTTGTTGTGGATGCTCTAAGGGGTGCATTGAACCCATCATCCGTGCCCTCAGGGGTCTGCGCGCATGATGCATGATGGACAAAATGAAGTACTATACATATGATGCGTCTGCCAGTAGAAATGTTCTGGGAAAAAAAAAAAAAAACATGGGCGATTACAAGGTGAGACGAAAATGAAGACTGGGCCGCCGCTCGGTCAACTCTTCCAACGTACTGACCACTACTACAGGGTCGCCGTGCTATGGGAGGTCTTCATGACCCTAGACTTATTGACGTCACGCAATACATAAAAAACGTCAGCGAGCTCACGGGCGAACCGAAATGAAACGAAGGAGCAGAACAGACTCACTCATCCATCAACCCATTCACGACATTGTGTCGCGATGATGACGATGATGATGCCGCTGCCCACGTGACGGAGCGGGGTTCTCCGGCCTGAGCGAGCAGTACAAGAAATGGCGGCGCGGGAGTGTCGCGCTGGCCATGCCCGCGACCGCCGCGACGCGCGCGCCAAGGGGCGCCGTGTCCGTGCCGCTACCACGCACGCCGAGCGAGAACATGCGATCGAACACTTTCCATCCATCAGCCTCATTAATTAATATGGTGAGAAAAGGGGGGTTACGCACGGGTGGCGACGAACGCCTTGGCGGTCGTCTGGCATACGAGGTGGGAGAGCGCGAGAGGGGGGCTGACGCCCTCGAGCGTGCGGAGATACCGGAATACCATCGAGGGCTGGCACGGCCCGAAGCGGAAAACGGCCTGGTAGGCCTGCCGCCACTTTTCGTCGAGGAGCCGCGCGCAGGTCTGCGGATCTGGGCAGGACGGGCACTGTGTTTTTGTTTGTGATGTAATAACACCCATGCGACGCGTTGCATTTGGAGTTAGTCTTTGTCTAAACTTAGCTCGGGGAGGGACGTACGCATTCGTATTCTTTGGCGATCTGCACGAGGCCAAGTTTGAGCACGCGTTCGAGGAACCAGGTCCGTCTGTGGAGAGCAGGCAGTGAGGGGCCGCCTTGAAAAGCCTGGGAGTTCTTACCGCTTTTCGAGCTTGAGCAATGTCTCACTGCTGAGCGTGTTGAGCTCTTGTTCCGGCCACCCGCCCGGGTTGTCGAGTACGAAGCGCGAGGCTTCGCGGTAAAGCTCTTCCTCCTCGAAGAGCTCCGCGATGCGCATCGCCTTGATTGGGCGACCGGCGGCGTGCGTGAGGAGAAAGTTGAGGCAGATCCGCTGCAAGGAGGGCACGCAGAGCTTGTTGCCGATGTTCATCAGGCCTTCCACGTTGTTCCAAGTGATCGTGCATTCCATGCTAAATACGTTGCAGGTCAGTGAACCTGATTTGTGTGGGAGGTAGCGTACCTGGGATAGACGAAGCGGAGAAAGTCGTGAAAGGTGCTCGCCTAAGCGCGAGTGAGACCCATGTCCCGAGGAAAAGGGAATAGAATTAGTCGCACCTTTTCTTCTTTGAGCACAATAACAGCATCTGGATTGCTTGTCACTTGGTGGTGTTTAGCTGATGCGTTTGCGTTTGCCCGCTTCCAAGAGAGTTTGACAATCCTATTGCTTTTTTCTTTGTCTGCATCCCTGTGAGCATCTCCTGGGGTTGCAGCAGCGTTCCGTAACAGCTTCTCCAAGCTTTCTTGTCGTGCGGCCTCATGGGATTTCTTCTTCGGGGTTGCGATGGAGTCCCCGCCGTCAGAGAGCACACCCGATTCGGTCCCAAGCGCATCAGCGGATGTAGGTGAATGAGACGACTCGATGACCTCCGGCTCGCTTGACTCTGAAACGTCAATGTCCAACTCTTCGGGGTCCATGTCGGGGTCCATGGGTGCGAACGCCATGGCCGTCGGCGGATCAGGGTGTGTCTTGTCCCCGGGAACGGAAGGTGGCTGAGAAATGGTGATGACGGAGGACATGGAAAGCGGGCGTCCAGTCTCTGCCCAGTTGCCGCTGAGCGCAGCCTGGAAGAAGGGCGAGGCGAACCAGAGGATCTCTTTATGCGCCCTGAGCAGCAACACCCCGGCGACATCAGCGACTTTTGAGAGAAGAGGATTTGGATGGGGCGCAACGACGACACGTACCAGAACGTCGTGCTCTCGACGACGATTTTGACCGTCCCAGGGAACTTGGAATGCTTCGTGAACGCCTCGTCGACGTCGATGGGCTCCTGGGAGTCGGTGATGCTCAACTCAGAGATTGCATCTTCCGTGTCTGCGCCTTCGAGGAACCACGGTGGTGATCCGGCCGAGGAGCGGAATATGCCCGCAGCGGCGGCGTGTGTTTCTGTTGGTGAGCTCAGAGCCGCGGTGGTGTTCGACGGGCCACGGGAGTTGCGTGCGATGAGGATGTGGGATGGGTTGGTTGACATTAGAATGCAGAGACGTTGGTGGTTTGCAGCAGATGGCCTGCGTATTCGTCAAACAGACCACTTATTGTGGGATATCCGCGGGCTGTGCTGATCGGCCTCAAGGATCATTGCGGCCCGTTGTCAGGGTGAAGAGATCAGGGTGTTAGGCCCTTCTCGAGTATATCGTCTTACTGTAATACAGACAACTTACAGTTCACTGAATGCAGCAGTGAAACTGTTTGTTTCAGGGCACACAGGCACTCACATTTGATCCATTTTGGTGCAGCTGTGACCATCCAAGAAATATCGGCGCTATAGTGTAGTGGCTATCACAACGGATTCTGATTATTCTCTAAATTTCCGTTAACCCAGGTTCGAACCCTGGTAGCGCCTTCTTTTTTGTGTACTCCTCTCACCAAATCTTGCGCGTAGGGCTCCGCACCGTGACCGTCTGACGGTCGTAGACACTAGTCGTAATGATGTACGCCTGTATCTGTAGAACTGGTCTGGGAATGCCGGATATGGTATCACACATCCTTCTTCCCTCACATATATGTCCTGTAAACAAGGGAGTCCCCCCGGCTCCAGTCCTCAGTAGGGCTCGTTGCAGCCCATTCCCTGTGCCTTCCAGCGTTCCGCACTTTCGCGTGCTCTTGGCGACCATGGTGCGATACTCTTCTGACAGAGGCCAACAGATGTACAAAGTCTCGCACAGCACGGAGGCGTGCACCACCCCTTGCACCACTGATCACAATCCAGAGCAACTTCGCACGCTGCGAGATAGGCTCCAGCCACGACGGCGAGCTCACGACGCCAGGCTATTACCGCGTGCTCCTAGATGCGACCGAAGGAGGCTCCATCCTTGCAGAGCAGAGGGCCTGTCAAATGCTTTCTTGCTGCCTGCCTCGCCTCCCAGCTCGAGATCGAGACATGTCGTCTTAACTTGGTGATAGATCAAAAGCCGAAGAACAGCGCGCGACAACCAAAAAAAAACCCCGCAAAAACGCGAAAGCAGTACTGAGGTCGCACTCGTATGGAGGAGAATGACCCGCTGGCAGGAAGATGGCTGACCTCCTTCGGAAACACAACAGTCGTCCGAAACATTATACATAGAATAAATACCTTTACGCTGCCTTTACGTTCCTATCTCCCCCCCCAGAAAAAAAGACTTTCCCGCACACAAATAAGGTTGTAGTCGACGAAGTCGACACCTACACTGGCAGTAAGTGAACAAATAATTTGACAAATGAAACACAACACGAACCCGAGAGAACAGGCCCGAATCTCCCGACATCCCGGAACGGACAACGCGTTTTATTTACCCTTATTTTTAACACGTTTACTCCTTAGAGAAATAAAAATAAAAGGACTCACAATTGGGAACAAAATCCGGACTGTGAAACCTTCCCGCTGCAGTGAACTTCAGTTGCCAGACCTGTTATATAATTAGATCTAGGTAAAGCTGCGATTGACGACGACGTAGACAACGCCACACAGATGGATCAAATGATGTTGTTCGCCGATTGAATCTCGTTTGGGTATTTCATGAGAGCTCTTGTTGAGGGATTCGAGGACGATCTGCGAACCAGATGCGGTTAACTTTTGCGCATTCTTGGTCCTAGCTGAAGATGCCCATAGATACATTGCTACGCCCTCATCGCGGGCGCAACTCTCTCGATCGATAGTAAGTAAGACGCAAAGGCACTCAATCAGGCGGGCAAGCGATGCCGAGGCTCGCGGACACGACAG